CAGAGTGCTGCTCCATCGGCTCTGTCCAACAAGAAAATCAGGATGCTGCAGATGCAGCGATATTGTACCAACAAGAAAATCCGGATGCTGCTGGTTTAGCGACGCTGTATCAAGAAGGAGCCGTGTTGCACAGGTCTTCTTCCTCAAGCCTGAATTCTCAGATGGACGTACCGAGTGCTTACTTGGAACAAACCCAACCAGCTGGCGACTATCACACCCTGAACGGGCAAGAACCATCCGAAACAAGAACAACGGCGACGACAAGAACGACAGCGACGCCACCCAGAACAGCTACACTGTCAGCCACAGCGTCGACATCGACACTCTCACACGAACAGCTCGAGGCGCTAGGGAGCACTCCTATTTTCGCTGACGCAGAGCACGCTCTTGCACATGCCAGGCAGGAGCTACAGCAGCAGCGGCAGGCACAATTCGGAGCTGCATTGCCATCTTCGTTCCCTATTCCTTCCGCCGCTCACCACTCTGTGTCTGGCTTCTCCAAGCGTTCCTTTGACGAGACGACAGTCATCGATTCCCGCATTCAAGGGCAAGAAGAAGAAGGCTTCGGCAATGCCATGTTCGATCAAGACGAGCTGGACAGCGAGCCATCGAGTCATTCGGGATGGCCCTCATCGCGAAACGCGCACCTGCACTCTAGCAATCCTCAAGGCATGGATACACGGTTGCCAAGTCGATCGACTTTGTTAAAGACATCTCCTGGTTATTCTCATTACAACCCAGCCTCCTCCAGTACCCCGGTAAGCCGATATGAGTCAACTTTTTGGTTTTTCGTTGGCTTCGTTTGTCTTTTCCACTCTGTAAACAATGCTCGCAATGATTTTACACGAAAGCGAAAGAGATGCGTGTTCCTTGACGTCGCTGACCTCGTATCGCCTCGTTTCTGTTGTTCTGTTCGTTGCCCCGGTCTCTTGCTAACGTTAGAAACGAATCATGCTGAGTAGCGACATGAACACGACTCCAGCTGCCTCGATGAGCGACTCGTACTCGCTTGGAACAGGCTGGATTGATCAAGATGTACTAACGGGAGGGATTTCAGCGGCAGCTGCACCCGTACAGACAGATCCGACCACTACCACCTCCTCTCCAAACAGCATGCAGCCATCATCATCATCATCATCAGCTGCGGCCGCAGCAGGGTCTGCTGCAATGATGATTCCGCAGAGTTCCGCTGTCGACTGGTATCGCCAGCGCCCAACTCGTTCGCGTCACGATTCGCTCTCGTCGGTGATGGCCATGCCATCCTCATCCGTGCATGGCGACCACGACGAGCTGGAAATGATGTCCTTCTCTGGCTTCTCCTCCGTGTCACAGTCGAACGCCCCTTCGCCAACGCCAGAGTGGCAATCCACACCTTCTCTTTCACAGCACACGTCCCAAAGCCAAAGCCAGTTCAACCCGCTGACTCGGCGCCAATCAAGCGATGCCTCCATCCACGGCGCACAGCAGCAGCAGCAGCAGCAGCAGCAGCAGCAGCAGCAGCAGCAGCATTTACATCTCCCATTGCCCCTTTCCGCACAACACTCGGCTGGCGACTCCCACGCTTCCGCATCCTCGTTGCAGATTCCCAGCTGGAATGGTCGCAACCGAAGCCAGGTGCACTCGCCATCATCTCATCCCGCCGGATTTGTCTTTGCATCCTCTTCTGCTGTCAGCTCAGCGCATAGTTCGCCAGTCCTCACTCCGACTGCGTCCAACGCCAGCAATAATGGCATGCCTTCCTTCCAGCTGACCAGCAGCTCTCATAGCACGTCGGGTACGACTTGGTCCTCGTCGGCATTCACGTCTCTACGCTCCTCGCTCGCTGCTTCGCCGGTGATTGGTGGCAACAACAACACTATTTTGCAGCAAGCGCAGACTGGGATGGCACCACCTGCGCCTCATGCCTTCCAGCCTCCACAACCACCCAAATCCTCACGCTCTCGACGCTCCTCTTTTCACCTCGAGCCGTTCTCTCACGCAGGGGAACAGGGTCCACCGCTACCAACACCTCATCCACACCAAGGTCAACCTCAGCGACCTGTCCATCCGGCATCCTCGAACGCCTCCATCGACACAATGCTCAACAATGTGCTGACCGACAGCGGCATGCAGTCCCGCGCTGCCACAGCGTCGTCCTCTGGCGCGGCTTCGCATCCGCGATTCTTTGTGAATGTCGTGGAAGTCGACGAGTCTACCATGACTGGAACTCAAGAGGACGCCACTCAATTCACCATCACACCGAGCACCTTCACAGAGCGAC